AACTTCCTTAAATAAAACAAAAATAAATATTAATTAATTTTTATTAAAATAATAATAAACAGTTAATTAATAAAAGGAATAAGATAAATTAAAAATAATGTCATATTAAAATTAATATAAAACCAATGCAAAATATCAAACAATTATTAATTTTATAATTATATTTTATTAATTTAAAACCAACTTAAGTTCAACTAAAAAATAAAGATTTATACAGTCAATTAAATTTCATAAGGAACTTAAATTTAATAAAAAATTAATATATTTAAATAAATTCAATTCTTACTAATTTAAAAAATAATAAAAATATTAATTTTAAATATAGTTTAGTTATTTTAAAATCAATTTAAATTCCATTTAAAAATAAGGAAAATTATAAAAACTTCATTGGGTTTTCTAACAATCCTATAAAACTCCCAATGCTTTAAGTTTAAGAAAAGTCTCCCCTATTGTTTTGAAAAAAATGTGCAAATACCTTCTTTTTGTCAACATTCCAAATAAAGAATGTTGATGTAATGCATTAATTTTACTTTTCTTCAACCTTTTTACCTTAGTTTGTCCTAGAAGAGTAAGGAGAATTATTCTTTGAAAGTTGCCAGGCAAAATAAATTAGTGAAGGGTAAAGTTGAAACTTTAAATTATATATAGTCATGCATTAACAATGATAAGGGTATTTTGATAACTTCAATGCCTTTGTTACCGAAAAGGCTTGCAATGAACTACAACAGAGGTAGAAGCTTAAACCTTACCATTTTTTAGATACCATCTATATAAATGATTAAAAAAACAGCTTCAAATCTCTCTATTTAGTAAAATGAAATGGTCCAAACTGTTAATAGATCAAATGGTTAAATATGAGACCTTAAACCTTGCACTTTTTATTTAACAACTCAAATGTTTGAAAATGGTTGTAAAATGAAAAAAAAACAGCTTTAATACATTTAAAAATGTTAGAGAACAAAACGGGTCATCGCAGGACCCATTTTGTCGTCGGGCGAAGAAAATGACTAAAAATGGCTTAAATAATTTTCACGCTATTGTCAAACCGCCTTTGTAGGTGAATACCTTCTAATTCTAATCTATCTGCTTCTGTATACTAAATGATGGTTTGTTTTCTGAGGCAATAACTCTTCGCCATTAACAAGCCTCGGACTCCGAGGCTACAGCCATACAGGTTGTGACTGAATAAACAACACGGAGAGTTCCAAAGCTTGAACTAGGTTTGGAACAATTGCAAAGACTTTGTTGGGATTTTATCTCTTAAGATCGTATCCTTTGTTATCCAAACAACTTGAAGATGATATCTTGACACCTTCAATTATTTTGCTTCTACAAGTATAAATCTATGGTTTGATGACTTTCTTTTTCACTAATTCTTTTGTTGGTTGGGTTTAAAGCCATTCAGTCAAGTTCTGATGATCCCATGTGAAGATGGATATTTGAAGCCATTTGGTAAGCTTTGTTAAATATATGGATCAGCATAACGATATGTGATATTTGGTAATGATTTTGTAGGTTGTTTTTCTCTCCCTTTTTTTCCCTTTTTATGAACATTGTTTTGCTTGGTTACAAATGGAGGACATGGGAAGAGGATAGTGAGTCATTTTGTTTTTAATTGTTGTATGGAAATGTAGGTGTTATATAATGTTTTTATTTGATCCCCTATGCGCTATGCGTGGGGCCAATTAGGTCCATTTTTCTCTATTTTTGTAATGAAGCGTTAATAGTGAGGTGTGAGGACATGAGTTTATGCATCATATCCCTAGGAAGAAAACGGATCATATTGGATTTGAAACTGGGATATATCTAAATCTGGTCCAATAGAAATAAAATTATAGATTAATAATTAGAAAAACTAAAATCAATTTCAGTATAATAAAGATTAATGTAAATTTATGTAACAATAATATTAATTAATTAATTAGTAACATTAATAAATCTATATCTACTAAAATTAATAAAGTTACAAAACTATGTAATTTTCATTTTAAAATAATATAAATTAAGAAAAATTAATAAAATAAAAACTATTCATTTCAAAGTTAATTTTAATCAATTTATTGTTCACTTAAATTACATTAATAAAATTTTAAAATTATTTAATAAAAGATAGTGCAACTTGGATTGTGATAAAAAACATAGCCCAAAAAAATGCTTGCTTTGGGCTTTAAGACCAACTTGACTATCACAAGACTCCTTATGCTACAATTTGCTTTGGGCTTTAAGACCAACTTGACTATCACACGACTCCTTATGCTACAAATTTTTTAACAAAACTCATGCATTGCACCAATCCCCATTAATAACAGATATATGGGCAAACCCATTCCCAACCACCAACCGAGATAAGAAAATGCATATATATACACCCCCATTTGGCATGAGGCAAAGACCAACTCCTAGTAATAAGTTCAAAACTTTTTAGTAATTATCCCATGTGGGATTCAAGTAAGAATTTGAAATTTAGCTAAAACTCAAGAGTTCGTGTGGGCATGAAAATACAAGTGTGAGTGTATACAATTAAATGCAAAAGGAAGAAATGAATTAAAAGGACTAAACTTTTGAATCACACCTAACAAAACTACCACACCATTGGCAACACTACAATATATCATATGGCATGTTTTACTACTAATTCCTTATTTTGTTTTGTTTCCAAGGATACAACTTACAAAATTAAAGAGGGGAGATTGTGGAGGTGGGAGGTAATAGATTCAATAAAACCAAGCAAGTCTTAATTAATCTTTTTTTTTATTATTTTTTGATTTCTACTTCGATGAACATTTGACAATAAACCAAAACAGGGTCTGTGCATCTATCTTTCTTTTATAAATGTAGTTTGTTTTACATCATGAAGAGGTGGGGACAGAGTAGAGGAATTGGGATCTGCTCCTCACACCAACCTCACAGTCACCCATTATGCATTGAAAACATCTCCCATGAATAATAACAATCAAGTATGGAAAATGTTCCCGATATGAGGCTGGTACATGTGAGGTCGGCGGGAGGAGCAAATCCGCACTCAGAGTTTACATTCATGCCTCCATATTTGAAGGCCCACTAACCATCTCAGCTATTTGGTCATTGGCAAGGGATGGTGGTTGAAGAGATTAAAAATGTTATTACCTTTTGTAATGCAATATTCTGTTTGAACCATTGAAAATAGTAGAAATAAAATGCTCTTATTTGCTGGAAGCCATGTCACACCAAGGAACTAACATAAAATTACAGTTTTTCCTAGTGTTTTCAACGCATCGTTGCCCAATCAATTGAACCATTCAAACCATCACTTAGCCATGATTTTGGGTTTAGTTTTAATAAAACCCAAAAATTAGTAAAAACTATTGACCAGGTCAAAAACCATCCAACCCGGGCAGTTGGACCGTTGACTTGTTTGATCTAGTGGTTCAGGTCATGAGTTGCACACTAAATATGTATGTAAACTTCCAGAGGCCATAACTTTGTATTCCAATATGCAATTGGGGTGATCTTTTTTTTTATTTTAGGTAATTTTTTCGAGATCTATGCGTCCCAAAGTGTTGTAAGCATCTTCTTACCCCACTAACTTTGCGAAAAGAAAAGAAAAAACCTTTTTTGGCATCAAATTGTAATGTTTAATATTTTTTATAAATAAAAATTAAAAAATTGAATTAAAATATAAAATAGATATAAAATAATACATATGTTACATGTAATGTTTTCAACCCACCATTGACCCAACCATTTGAACCATCAGTCGGCAAGATTTCGAGCCTGGCTCTAGTAAAACCCAAAAATTGGTCAAAAAATCATTGACAAAAGTAAAAAACTATTCGACCCAGGCAATTAGATCGTTGACCTGTTTAACTTGGTGACCAGGCCACAAGTTGCACACTAAATGTGTATGCAAACTTCTAGAGGCCAAAACTTTGCACTCTGATGTCTAATTAGGGTGACCTTTTTATTAGTTTTGAGGGAAAACGCCTTTTTAGCCTCAAATTGAAATTTGTAATATTCTTTTACAAATAAAAAAAATAAAAAATTGAATTAAAAACATAAATTAAATATAAAATAATACATATATTACATGTTGAACATAAGTATACATTATTTATTGATAAAATACATGTTTATACATACCTATACAAACACACACAATATATAATGGTTTGGCTTTTTGGATCAGTTTTTAAATGGTTTTTCCTCTTTCTTTGTCAAAACTCATTACCTAGGCAATTTGACAACCATGTTTGGTGGTAGGAATGGAAACAAAAATGTGATCCCATTTTAAAAGATATTGGAAATTTCTTGTATCTGCTTCAACATATTACAATGCTAAGTACAAGCTCACGTAGCTGGCATGATACAATGCAAAATTAAACTCAAATAGTTGGAATATATAGGGATAGTCTACAAAGATTACTCAAGTAAAACACCATACACACCATGCATACATCAAAAAGGCATAAAATTGGACCTTTATTAGTAAGGCAGTATCTGAATACATTTTACAGTATGAACAATTGAGTTACACTACCAATCTATGTAAGCCAGTAAAGGAATGAATATCAATTTTTGTTTGTAACTATGAATATCATTTATGAGGTAAATTTATATTCTTTATAGAAAATTACAATTAACTGGGGGAAAGACCAAGGTTCAAAGTATCAGAAACATAAGATGTATTAATAAAGCAATTTTAAGAGATGTATCGGGATATGTTTTGGATACACCTAGATATGGACAAAAAATCAGGATATGCATGAATATGCTAGGAAACTCAAATAAATCTTTAAAAAATATATTAATTAATAAAAAAATATATATAAGTTTTATATAACTATAAATGAGTTATTTAAACATAAAAGACCATACTTCAATGGTTTATATAAATTGTAAGGTATCGGGACACAATTGGTAATCATTGAAGAATGATGAAAGAACTAAAGTTTATATGTTTGTTTCTTAATTTTCATAAAATCAATATAATATGTGTCAATATTTATTATTATATAAATTTAAAAAAATCAACTTTAGCATTTATTGCCAAAAATCCCCTAAGAATAGAATATTTACTTAAGAATCAAAATGCATATGCTTATAACAAGCAACTATAATATGGCTTAGTAGTGGACTTCTGGCCACTACAAATTAATGACTAGGGTTTAAATCCTCCTACTTGTAGTTTTTATAGCTACTTTAAGGCTTTAAGGCATATTTAATGGCATGTTTAAATTTAGGTTTGAATTTGAATATTAGAGAGGAGTAATGATTAAAGTTATTAGAGAGAGAATGAAGTTATTATATTATATTATATTATATTAATATTATAATCTGTATTTATCGGCTGTTATGGAATTTAAGACCTTGGGCAGGATAGAATAAGCTTTTTCGTTCAAGTCATAAAACCTCTAAAGGGCCTTTTGATCCTTCCTCTCATTCCAATTCAAACAGCGGATCAAGCTGCAGAACCAATCACCTGTTTGATCAGATTTGTTGACTGTAGGTAGAGGGTTCTTGCTCATATAGATTTGGACAGAGTCTCCTCTTAGGAGCCGCTGCCTTCTCTTACCATCAAATGAAATCCATGCATTATTACTTCGTGCATCCTCTGGGATCTGTTGAATTCCAAAATGCGGAACAGTTAGAGAGAAAGACTTGGGAAATATTCCAAAACGGCAAGAATGAATGCTACTAAAAGAAAGAAAGAATGCGGAACATTACATGCATGCATGCGTGCATGTATGTATGCATAAGGGAGAGTTTCAGTTTCCCCATCATCAATTCTCAAATTTATCCTTTTCACTTAAAAAGTTAAAATCCTTGAAATATATCTAATTTCCCTTATGCCCCATCCCTGTGGTGGGGCATGTGCAACAGGTGCCACATTATGTAGGTTTAGAAACAGGATTATACAGCCCATAGAAGGGTACCAGGCAGAAAATAGGCATCCAAAATTTTTTTGAACAAAAGAAAGCCCGCAGGCAAATTCATTCATCGTTTTCGGATAGTGAGTCTGTTACAAGAATAACATCAAGAAAAGAAACACTGAAGAGGAATGCCCTAAAATAAAACTATCTAAATAAACCCTCAATTTAGCCAAGCCTACTACCATACAATTGGATGACAACATAGGCAATCATTAGAACAAAATGTTTAATATTGATACTGTGGCTTAAGTCACTCAAAGAGCATGTCCCAACTGCAAAGTTGCACAGCAGACAAAATTGAGGAGTTTGCCAGCACCATTTAGCAATACATTATATGCAGTCTTATGTATGGAAACAAATTAGTCACAAAAGGGAAAAAATTATCTTGGGTCTGTACCGGGATCTCTCTAACAGATTAAAAAAGGAATACAAAAAAGATATTCAGAGTTTCTTGCTGGTGATCAACACTTAAAAACTATCAGGGAGTTCAGGACAAAGAGCTTAGAAATTTAAGAATTCACTTAGAAGTTCCTGCTACATAAGAAGATTTAGCTTTTTTTCTGTTTTGATAAGAGGATTTAGCTTTCTAACAATCCTCCCTTGATATGTACAAGTTAATGGATAATGCCATAAATGCATGCAACCGAAATTTTGCAATTATAAGCATGCTACGAAAAGCAGTTATGGCCATATAATGAAACTAAACAAGGCAAGACAGTGTAAAAATCTACTGTGAAGAAAATTATTATAGCACCATATCACTTTAAAATCTTCTGGCATTAAGGTCCAACAATATAGCAAATGTCTGAGTGAATGCTTACACCCCACAAACAATACTATAACAACTACAACAGAAGTTACAGAAATTAGCCCAAGAAAACCATGGGATCCAATAAAGAGCAAATGGAAGCACAGATCATAGCACCATTCCCTTAGTGGTGAACTAGGTTGATCACTTCTTCCTGGGCCCACATTGTCTGGAAGTTTTATTTATCTAATATTTACAATATAATATAAATAATATTTATGGTATAAATGTGTGAGTGTATCCTGTAATTTTAAATATAAACTTAGATTAAAATTCTAATTTCTTTAAAAATTTAAAAATAATGGAATGGTGAAACAGAATTCATGTAGCCAACCCCATATATTTGGGATTAGGCTTGGATGATGATGATGATGAATTTATATGGGCAAGCCTGGATTCCCAGCCTTTGTTTTTAGTCCCAAAATTTACTCTCGGTGGAGGGGTGGCCACTGTGAATTTTATTAAAGTAATAAAGTGGAAAGAAACCTAGGAGGGGGGGACGTAAAAAGCTTACCCCTAGGATGCCCAGCCTCGCCCATAATCATCCCTGTGGTGAACCTTGAACCTCCCCATGAGATACCAGCTCTAAAGGGATAGTAGGAGATTGCAACTAAACTACATTTATTGTCTTTTGTATATTTTGGCTGAATATTTTTTATTTGCAATTGATACTGATGCTGTGTTTGGTTGCAATGCAAATAAATTTTCACTGATGCAAAACTATGGCAGTGCAAATGATTTGAGTGTAAATTCTGACCTACTTTTGTTTCAAATTTTAGCTTATTTTGTTTGGTTGCAGTGAAAATGAAGTAAATTAACACATGAAGCAGAATAAAGTAAAACCCAAAAACATAATTAAAAGAGAATTTAGATTTTTTTTCATTTGCACTTCCATGCATTTGTACTAGTACAAATAAAATTGCACTACAACCAAAGGCAACCTGAAGAAATTATAATTAAATAAAAAGGAGAGGAATTACAATCATCTAGTTCACCAAGGAATGAATGGACAAAATCCAACAAAGTTATCGAAATATGGGGTAAAACAAATATACAAGGAACAGATGGATAATACACAAAAATATGAAGTATTGAGGAATACAACCCATCAGCTGCAGAGTTGTAGAAATCAGAATCCATCTGAACAAGATGTTCACTGAGAAAACTAAAAACCAAGCATTTCTAACATGGTATAGAAGACACCGGGGGTCATATATATTTCTTTTTGCAACCGTGATGGTGCTTTTGCACACCTCCAGTAGAAGACAATTTGTCTATTAATGCATGACTATGTAGGAGGTTCTATTGTGTTTAGGTAGTATCATTGGAGATATTAAAGATTTTAGTCATGCTTTTCTATTCTGAAGGAAGCTTTCTGGTGTATATTCAAAATCATAAACTCCAAGCAAGCACTGGGGGGGGGGGGACTAATGTTGCTCTAAGAGGGAAAATGAAAAATAATAATAATAATCATTAGTTGTTTTCAATGAAAAGAAGACAGACAATAAGTTGGCTCAGGAAAGCAAAAGCAAATTTAAACTCCTCATCATATGGTGGTGGTCAACCCAACTGAACTCAAAAAAACCTTGCCCTGACTATATGAAGTCGGTTACATAAATCCTGTTTTGGCATATGGCTAGTGGCATATCCCTAGTTAAATAATGGGCCCTCAAATCATGTCTCACTACTTCAACCTGTTTTGGCGTGCTCCTGGTTCTTCTAGACCCAACAACTTGCAACTAGTCACTTATTACTAATGTTGTACGTCTTCTTTACATGTGACCAAACCATCTTCTACTTCCCCTCATTCTATCACCTATTAAGTAATAAGGCTGATCTACATTCCTAGAAATATACTAGTTTCTCAGTCTATCTTTTCTAGTCTTTCCAGTCATCAATCTCAATGTTTACACACTTTTTTTTGTCCAAACCTCATACTCTATGTAACATTGATGGACTTGAAAGCCATTTTATAAAATTTTTATTTTAGCCTAGGTGGTATTTTCCTATCACATAGGACTCCAGATGCACCCCTCTATTTTGCCCTTATTCTTTTTATTCTGAGTGGCACTCCCCTCAATCTCTCCCTTGTCATGAATTGCCAAACCAAGGTAATAAAAAAAGGTCATATGGTAGAGGTATTCTTGATCTCTAATCCTTATTGTACCCCAAATCCTACTCCTATTATTTTTAAATTTACACTGCCCATATTTTGTTGTAGTCCCACTTATCTTAAAACGTTTTGTTAACAAAGAATCTTTTCATAGATACAACTTTGCATATAATCGCCCTCTAGTTTCATACCATCCCATCAGCAAACCACAAACATCATTAAGATGCCCTCCTTAATATGCTTAATCAATTCATCCATGACTAGTGCAGGCCTCAACTAGCCTAGTAAGCCTTGGTGATAGATCCAAATACCTGATTGGTACTCCTTTTTTTATCATAACCCACCATATTATCTTCTAGGGAGCCTGCCATATAGTTTCTCTAGATCAATGAATGCCATGAACATTTCTCTTCTCCCAGAGGTTTTTTTCTCAATCACCTCAATAAAATAATAGCTACTATGGCTGATCCCTCTAGCACAAAACCAAATTGAATTTTAGCATATTTGTTTCACATCGCAAGCTTTGCACAGCCACTAGAGTTGGCATCATGTTTTAAGTAGGAGTTTGTTCTCATTAGATGTCAACTTTAAATGTACAAGACAAGTGATGCATTTGAAACATAAAAATAATGCATAAAGGGCAGCCCAATGCACGAGGTTCCCAATGTGGGTCTGGGGAGGGACAGATATGCGCAGCCTTACCCCTGCACATACAGAGAGGCTGCTTCCAAGATTTGAACATTGGTCGCCCAGGTCACAATGAATCCTGGTCACCCAAGTCATAAAAATCATTAATGGATTAGCAATAAGCTAGTAAGAAACATAAGCATGGACATAAGATGAAATCTAGATAATCCACAAGGAAATATAATGAAGGGCCATTACCATTATTGGTCCCAGCTATCCAAGGACTTAGGAGGGGTGCAGTGGATAAGGACCGAACAATTGGCTTTTCTTTTCTTTTTTGCCCAAAGTGGTCACTCTCAGACTCAAATTTGTATTCTCACTCTTGTCAGTTCGAGGTTTTACCATTGAATGAAGCAAAGGCCCCTTAGAAGGAAATGTAATATATGATAATAGCAAATAAAAAATTTTCAATCCAAGAAGCTGAGCACAGGAAAATTATTCCTTATTTTTCTTTCTTTCTTCCAGTTGTTCCACCATGGTTCAGGCAGTTGATATAAAAGTACAGTTTTTCTGTACCTTTTCCTTTAATTCTAATATATGCTTGACATTCTGCATATGTGTGGCATCCCTCTCAGAATAGCTTTTTCTTTTTTCATGTTCTATGTTTTTTGTATCTTCATGGATGCAGTCTGCCTTCTTTTTTTGCCTAGGAAGGATTAGATTCCAGGTCAGTAGGAACCACATCCACTGGTTCTAGTTTGCCTCCTTATCTTTGATGTGCTAGCTGATACATCCACTGAAAAGCATGACAACTTTATGTTCTCACTTCCATTTTATAATAAAGTTCCCAGTAACTATGCCAAAATGGAGCATGAGTGATACAATAAAGCTTTGATTCATAGAAGATTCTAATAGAACCATTCTAGCAATGACCATGATCCAAATAACATGGATAACAGACTTTTTCTCATTCCATTTAATCAGTAATAGTTGTTTAGAGGTACATATGCCCTACCTTTAATTCAATCCGCGCAGAATCTGGAAGTATGACAGGCCTAAATGAGAGGGAGTGTGGGCATATTGGAGTGAATAACATGCATGGAACATTTGGGTGAACCTGTGAGCCAGATCATCCATAACACATGATTATAAAGACAAGCTTATAAGCATACTAAAAAAACAATGAAACTTAAAACAAGAACAAGGTCGAGGACAAAAGAATATTACATGATATAGATCCATCAATATGGAATTCAAGTTAATAGTTTTCTTGACAAATACTTGAAATAAGACAAATTATAGGAGTAGATGAGAGAACACCCTTTACAAAATGATAGCTTCCAAACAGAGTCATTTATAGTCTATATACATATAAAATTGATCAGCCCCAAGGGATTCAAAAACAATTCACAGTCAATGGCAATAGAAATGAACCTCAACCCATGGAAATCCTCCAAAACCATCACCATCATCATCATCCAAGCCTTACCCCAACTATATGGGGTTAGCTACATGAATCTATTTCATCATTCCATTCTATTTAATTCCATATTAATTGTTAAACTATTGGAAATTAAATCTTCTCTTACTACTTCTATCCATGTCCTTTTTGGTATACTCCTAGCCCTTCTAGCCCCTTCAGCTTGCAACAAATCACTTCTTATAGGTGTTGTTGATGGTCTTCTATGCACACGATAAAACCATCTTAGTCTATTTTCTCTAACTTTATCACCTATTGGGGCTACTCCTAGGTTCTTTCAAATGACTTCATCTGATCCTACCCTTTCTAGTTTTTGCACTCATCAACTTCAGTATATGCATTTATGCCACTCATTTTTTGGACATGCCGTTTCTTGACTGCCCAACACTCTGCTCCATATAGCATAGCTGGCCTTACAACTGTTTTATAGGATTTTCCTTTTAATCTAAGTGGCATTCACTTATCACATACATTACAACCTGAGAATAAAGGAAGGTAAGAGAAGAAAAAGAAGGGGTAAAGGTAGAGAAATCCGTCTTCTACAGTAGAGAACAAGAAGGAAGTGAAAAAGGATCTAAAGTTAGAAGATACAAACTCTTCTCCTTGTCAACCTACACTGTTATTCCATTCTTTAGAATGCGTGAAAATACAAAAATGTCCCTATTAAATGATTCTTAACAAGGGAAAATACAATACTATGCTAAGAGACCAAAATGCCCCTTATGGGCATAGATTTCAATATTCCCTCTCAAGCTGGAGCATATATATCATGGAGCTCTAGCTTGTTACAAATATAATCTATCCTAGTACAGCACAAGCTCTTGGTAAGCAAATTTTCTAGCTAATTTTCTGACTTGACATAAAGAGTAACAATATCACCATTTGTCACCTTTTCTCTTACAAACTGACAATCAACTTCTATATGCTTGGTCCTCCTCTCATGGAAGACCGGATTAGATGCAATATGAATAGCAGTCTGATTATCACAAAACAACTTTATAGGCTTTTCTATAGCCACTACACTCAACCTTAGAATTACTCCTAGCCACTACACTTTGCTTCTTACTTTTCCAAGTAATAAGATTGCCACACAAAAGGGTACAATACCATGTAGTAGATCTCATGTCTTGTCCATTGAGGAACCTGCGCAATCTGCATCAGTATATCCCTTTAAGGTTAATTCTCCCCCTTTCTTGTATAGTAATCCCCGGTCCAGAGCACTTTTCAAATATCTCAACACTCTTACAACACCTTCCCAATGAACGACTGTGGGATTTTACATGAACTGGCTCAGAACCCCTACACTGAAGGAGATATTTGGATGGGTGATAGTAAGATAAATCAATTTGCCAAGTAATCTCCTATACCTCCCTAGATCATTGAATAGCTCCCCCTGACTATCAGTCATTTTCACATTAGGATCCATAGGGGTCTCAACTAGTTTCGCCCCTAGAAGACTTGTCTCATCCAACAAATCCAAGACATACTTGCATTGTGACAAGGAAACTCCACTTCAAGCGGGCTACTTCAATACACAAGAAATACTTCAAGGATCCTAAATCCTTGGTTTGGAAGTGTTGTTGTAAAAACTACTTTAAATCATCAATCACATTAACATCACTTCCAATAATGACTATGCCATCATCATACACTACCAAAATGATATTCCTAAATGTGGTATCCTTACTGAAAACTGAACGATCAACTTTGCATTGCTTGAGACCAAACTGTTGTGCAACACTGCTGAACCTACCAAACAAGGCTTGTGGTGACTACTTTGGCCCATAAATTGCCTTGCACAACTTGCATACCTTTTCAACTCCCCCTGAGCAACATATCCAGGAGGTTGCTCCACGTACACTTCCTCTTGAAGGTCACCATTAAAAAAAGCATTATTGGTATCAAGTTGGTACAAGTGCTAGTCAAAATGGACAGCAAGAGAAATAATAACTTATTCAAATGACAACTTAGCCACCAAAGAGAAGGTCTCAAAGTAATCACACCATAAGTTTGTGTGTAGCCTTTTTCCACCAGTTGCATTTTGAGCCTCTCAATACTACCATCCTATTTGTATTTGATTGCATACACCCACCTACAACCAACTACCTATTTTCCAAGGGGTAAGAGGGTAAGGTCCCATGTGTGATTAGATTGAACAGCCTGAAATTCATCATCCATTGCTTTTTTTTTTCAATTAGGTGAGGCAAGGGATTCTTGAACAAACCTAGGAACAAAGACGGAAGACTAAAGAGACACAAATCTCTAGTGGGCAGAAAATAAATGAACAAGAAAGCAATAAAAAGAAATGAGATGGTTAGTACAAGTATGCTTACCATTACATAATGCAATGGGAAGATCAAGCTCGAAAGGAGGAGGATCTATCAACAATTCAGATGTTGGTGGAGAGTTAGAAATTAGAATCTGAGCTGGTGTAGAAACTGGCTCAAGCTCCCAAACACGTCTGATGTACACTCTTTTAATTGATGGTCGAATGGGCTTCTTAGGATTGGGAAGAGGAATAAACACTTCACTTGAAGTAGATGGGAGAGGGAAGAGGGAGAGGGTTCCCATCCAGAGAAATAAAGAACACTCTCAGATGTGAATCAGTCCTCTAATATCAGGTTTAAAATCAGTGATTAGCAGTACAAATCAGATCTGAATGATAGTGCAAGAGCTGTGTATGTTGAAGAGAAGAGGTAAGAGAAGAAGAAGTCGAATTAGTCTTCCTTCTCCTCTAACCCTATTTTTTTATTAATCTCTAAAACAAATTGATGATGACAAGTATACCCTTAAGTGGGAAGCCAGCTTGGCAGT